ATGACACCCATAAAGAAGGCTGCCCATTTTAAAAATGGTAGAAAGAGCCTAGATACCCAAGGAATACATCCATATTCTTTTGAAAATCTAATGTTAGAAATAGTACCTAATTTCTTCTTTCATAGTGTCTGTGCTTGCTATGGTTTACTCAGTAAATCTAACCCACTGAGAAGATTACAAGAAGGTTTGCATCCACCTTACAAAATGCCTGCGACAGTCTACCGTAGGACCCCTTTATTTATCTTGTGTGCAAAATACATTTACTTCCCACCAATGCTCCTCAATTTTTTTTTGTGACCCAATTATGTGTACACTCAAAGCACAGAATTTTGTTATGTAAAACAGACCCCAATGTAAAAGAGTTCCCTTATGTGAAAGCCTTAGATATAACTTCTTTTTAACTATAATCTTTTCTTAAAAGTAGAAACAAAAGAGTTCTCTGCCTCAAATCCAAGAGGCAACAGTAGGACCAGTATAATACGTACACTGAACATATTTGTGTTCATAAGTGGGAAAAGGATGACATTTTACTAGATCATAATAATTCTGAAACATTGAAAGTTCTTTGATTAGTTCTGAATGTTAGAATGTTAACAATATTATAATCATCCCCAATCTTATCTTCTATCCTCTATAAACTTGCTTCTTCTCTGTGTGTAATCCTCACTGTTTCAGGTAAGTGAGTCAAATTTTGAAGCCTATACTCTTAGATTGACAAAGGGGATCTCAATATCTCTTCTCTCTATCTCTCTTTATTTTGGGGCGAGTGTGGGGGCTTGAGACAGGGTTTTACTATGTAGCTTTGGTGCCTGTCCTGGAACTAGCTCTTGTAGACCAGACTGACCTCAAACTCACAGAGCTCCACCTACCTCTGCCTCATGAGCCCTGGGATTAAATATGTACACCACCACAGCCTGGCTCAATCTCAATGTCTCTTCCAATTCTGTATTATCTTTGACAATATTTTTGTATATACATACTCATATATCTATATCTATATATATACATATACTACATGCATATGTATACTAGTGATAGTATATTATATAGAGAGATATAACACACACACATATATACACTATTAATAGTAATTTCTTATGAAGACATTGAAGAGCGTAAGAGGAAAATGAAAACTATTTCTCAGTAGATATGAAGTTGGAAATGTATCTGATGAGCTTGGATTCCCTCATGTCAATGACAAGGCTGCTAGGAAATTCCTTCAGTACCTATCTTTTAAATTTGAAGACTGTTACTTGAAGAACCCCTTTATAGTTCAGATCCTAAAGAAGACAATGATTGAAGTTGGAAATGCACCAAATATACAGATATTCGAAAGAGAGCAGGGAATCACTGGGAACTTGTTAGAACTCATTTGTTGTTTCTGAAATAATAAAGTCAAAACTCCACAGTCCTCTAATTTGCAAGAAAGTGTGCTTTTGCTTGATTGTCTTATTTTCAGCAAACAAATAAAAACATATACATTCAAGAAATAAAAACAACCAACTAGTCAGAATTTTGGAGCTTAATGAAATGATGCCTTTGAAAAGTCATCATCATTAGATGGGAAGTTAACTTGCAATTGTTTAGTTTTATGTTTAAAATTTTAGTTTATTTAATTTATACTTTATAAACTATGATCAGGTTGACATTTTTGCCTTCTGATTTATTCTACAGCTAGACCTTTTGTTCCATTAATTATGATTCAGTTGGAAAAGTGCACAACATTTCTCATCAATTACTCTTGCAACATCAACAACAACAACACCAAAAAAAAAAAAAACAGGATGTAACCTAATTTCTCTGTCATATTCGGAGCTACATAAAGTATCAACTTAAGTGAAAAGATTAAGTGGCACTATAAGAGTAAAATCACAAATATCAAGAACTGAAAAAAAATATAAATAACCATCTACTTTCAAGTAGAAAATAAAGAACCAATATTAAAATAGAAGAAGGACCACATTCATAGATTTTAAATAAAACATTATTACTGGGGGAACTCCTTCAGCCAACGGGCTTTGAGATGCTGGACCACTTTGAACGTGGCCTTGGGTACTATGAAAACACAGGTAGACATGTACACATACTCTCTCTTGGCTGCTAGATTCGATTCCTGCTCCTTACGATGCAGAGAACTGTGGATCTGTGAGTCTACCCCAAAATATAGAACCCTTTATTATACTTAATTCTGAGCTAGTGTAGGACTACTTTATTGCAAACACCTACACATTAGTACAAGAGGATATTACTATCATTTAAACTTATTGCCAGGGCCAACAAATGCCTCAGTGGATAAAGGCATTTGTCACCAAAACTCATGACCTGATTCCATCTCTACAATTTAGATCAAAGAAGAACAACAAAAAAAAATGAGCACAAGTTGTCTTCTGATCTTCACAAACTCAAATGTGGCATGCAGGCAACCCTCCCCCAATAAATAAATAAATAAATAAATAAATAAATAAATAAATAAATAAATAAAACTAAACATATCTTCTCACTTTATTATCAGTGCTTTAAGAAACACATTGCTTCAGGAGATGATATGATATGAGTCAATAATCCTTTCAAGTTGTAGTTGCTTGCCCAAACCTCTATTATCAAGCCCTAAGATGGTTGTTAAGAGAAAGTCTTGAACTTCTGTGAAAACAGATCTTGATGGCTAATTTTCACCATTAAATTGAATAGATCATAATTACCTATAAGATACACTTGAAGCATATCTGTGAGGTTGTTTCCAGAGGCAGGAAGTCTCATTGGGAATGTGGCCTGGAGTCCTAAATCAGGCAAAAACAAAACAAACAAACAAAAAAAAACAGGCAGAGGAGGAGAAAGAGGAGAAGTAGGAGGAGAAGGAGGAGGAGGAGGAAGATAAGGAGGAGGAGGAGGA